TGGGCTAATATTTTCAAGCTTAAGGTCTTTTTCTTTGTCTTTCTCTGTTTAATATATTTTTACTAGAGGCCCGGTGCACAAATTCGTGCACCAGTGCGATGCCTCGTCCTGGCCTGCGGGATCGGGCCAAAACTGGCTCTCTGACATCCCCCGAGGGGTCCCAGATTATGAGAGGGCATAGGCCAGGCCAAGGGACCCCACCGGTGCACCATTATGTCTGGGGAGGGACACGGGAGGTTGGCCAGCTGGGGACAGACCATGTGAGGGCTACAGGGTGTATCCAGCATGTCTCACTCAGTCCCTAACAGCCAGACCCCAGCAGCAATCAGACCTACCAATCTGAATGTCTTGTCCCTGGTGGTCAAAGCATATCATAGCGAGCAGTTGAGCAACCTTAGTATATCCTTTGCATATTATGCTTTGACTGGTTGAACAGATCACCTGTCGACTCGACAGTTAGCATATTAGGATTTTATTATATAGGATTGATTTCATACAGGAAGGGAGAGAGAAACATCAATGATGAGAGAGAATCATACATCGGGCGCCTCCTGCACACCCCCTCCTGGGGATCGAGCCCACAACCAGAGCGTGTGCCCTTGACCAGAATCGAACCTGGGACCTTCCAGAGTCCACAGTCCAACCCTCTATCCACTGAGCCCAACAAGCTAGGGCTCATTGGTTAATTCTTGTCTGTGCCCTGGCCAGGAATCAAACCGTTACTTCTGGGTTCATAGGTCGTCCCTCAAAGACTGAGAAACACCAGCTTGATTCAAAATGCTTTTATTGACTGAGAGAGAGGGAGAGAGACAGAGAGACAGAGAGACAGAGAGAGAAAGGAGGGGGAGAAGAAGAAGAAGAAAAAGAAGAAGAAGAAGAAGAAAAGAGAGGGAGAGAGAGAGAGAGAGAGAGAGAGAGAGAGAGAGAGAGAGAGAGAGAGAGAGAGAGAGAGAGAGAGAGAGAGAGAGAGAGAGAGAGAGAGAGAGAGAGACATCAATGTGCCCTCGCACCCAGGGGGTGGCAGATAGAATAACAGAGCTTATTAAGAAGGTGAACAGAACTATATACATCCCACCGGCAGGCCAGCAGAACTGGGGCTCAGGTTGACAAGATCCAGGGACCCCATCATGTGTCCTAGGAGTGGTCCATCAGCTCAAGGATCATTTCTTCCATGTCACCCACCTTGACGTGGTGCACGATGCGCCACAACCGGCCCATGGAGTCCAGGTACTGGCTGCCCAGGTGTAGCGTCCACATCGAAGGCATGGTGCTCGAGGTCAGCGGGCTTGTGGTGAGTGCGATATACCCACTGGGGATGTCGTCCTGCCACAACCGTACTTGCAGGTCACCTTCTGTGTCCAAGACGAGATGCAGCCACGTGCGCTGGTTCTCGTCCTCATACACCGAGTGCCCCCGGATCCTCAGGAAGATGGGGTGCGAGGTGAGGTGCACCTTCGACAGTAGCTCGACCATGACCCCTCCGTGGTTTAAGGAGCAAGAGCCACAGCTTCTCAGAGCCTCTCGCTACTTTGTTCCTGTTATGGAAAGACAGGGGATGGGTCTCCAAATGCATTTTACCTCGGCTTTCATCTTTATGGTTTTTATGGTTGTGTTTGTGGTTGCCTTTGGTTTATTTTGCAAATTTATAAATCTCAACTTTTCTTTCTTTTCAGTTTTAGCGCTCTTCTCAAAAAACTGTACAAAATGTACGTAAGGTAAAATATGTCTCTATGAAGGTAACATGGTCCTATGGAATTTTAAAAACATTTTTAAATGACAGTTAACATAGAGCCTTAGGTTCATTTCAGGGGTACACACCAATGATTAGACATTATATAGTGGACTAAGAAATCATGCAATTAATCTCATACCCATCTGAGACCATACACAGTTATTACATATTACTAGAGGTACAGTGCACAAAATTTATGCACTCAGGGTGGTTCCTCAGCCAACCCTGCAGCCTCTCCCAATCCAGGACCCCTTGAGCGATGTTCAACTGATGGCTTAGGCCCACTTTAGTGCTTCTGTGGAGGCTCCCGCTAACCCTCTGTGCTAGGCAGCTGTGAGCCTGGCTTTTGGCTGAGCGGCGCTCCTCTGTGGGAGTGCACTGACCACCAGTGGACAGCTCCTGCCATGAGCATCTGCCCCCGGTGGTCAGTGCGTGTCATAGCGACCAGTCGTTTTGCCGTTTGGTCGATTTGCATATCAGCCTTTTATTATATAGGATTGACTCAATGCTCTACTTTATTGTGCCATGACTATTCTTTCGTTTTTTTCATATAGTTTTACTGATTTCAGAGAGGAACGGAGAGGGAGAAGAGGATCAATGATGACCGAGAATCACGGATTTTTTGCCTGTTGCATGCCCCTTTCTGGGGATCAAGACTTTAACCCGGGCATGTGCCATGACTGGGAATCGAATCGACATCTCCTGGTTCCTAGGTTTAAGCTAAACAACCGAGCCATGCCAGCCGGGCTCTATTTTTTTCTTTTCTATCTTTTCTTTTTTTTCTTAATTAAAACTTTGTAGTTGGTTCAACTTTTCTTTTTGTCTTGTCAACACCACTTTCTTTCTGATCATCTCAGAGGGAACTCACAAACCATAGAACAAGCCACCCCATGCAAATACTATGCAAATAATATGCTTTACCTTTAACACCTAGCAGAGGGACAAAGCTAATGACAGCATCCTGGTTGGCTTCTTAACAGTGGTCTTGCTTGTCAAGTGCTGGTGAGAGAGGCAAGACCAAAATATTCAGGGACAGACAGATGCCTGAGATACCTGATGAGGCAAACAGGAAGCAAAGAGACAGGTGAAACACAAGTAGAATTCCTGAGGTCTCATAACATCACTTATAGAATGATCTCTCCCTTCCCCAAACCTCAGTCATGCTCTTGGCAAGAGCTGTATGGTTTTGCTGCTAAACTCACTTCAGTCCACAAAGTCCAAATTCCTCCCTCAGATCAGACTCCATCCCCAATGATTCCTCCTCCTCCTCCCATCCATCTTTTTCTTACCAGTTCTTCTTGCAATGGAGGCAAAGGCCTGTTCTTTACTCCTTTCCTCTGTGACTGGTCTCTGCTTCCCCCTGTCACCTGCAGAAGAATGAACATGACCATGATACACAGGTTCCTGGGAGTCCATGTACCAGGAATGTGTCCAGAAAAACAAGGTTCCCCAGACTCACACCCCAGAAACCAGTCCCTTGAGACAGGTGGTGGTGAGGAAGGAAAGAGTTTTATTCAGGTGCCGGCAACCTTAAAATATGGGGGAAGCTCGTTCCAAAACCTATCTGCAAATGTCAGTGCAGGCAGAGGCTTTTATAAGGAGGGAGACGCCAAACAGAGCAAAGAGGTCAGGGGGCGGGGCTTGAGAAGTTCTGTACATACCCACAGGCACAGTCCAATCTGATAAGTATTTTGCAAGTGGTCAGGTGTCGGTCCAGAGTGCGTCATCATAGAATTTGTCCTCCTGGTTCTAAGGTTGAAGGTCAGCAAATCTCCTAGAACTGGAAAGGTCAGAGTTCATATCTTGTAAAATTAGTTCCTAGGATTCTTATACAAACATGCTGTTTACCTACAAGATTCATTATTAGTCAGAGTCTGCACTTACAGGAACAATGTGGAAAGAATGGGGAGGAGAGTTGAAATTCCCACTGACATGAATGCTGAGATGCTTCGTTCTTCTTCAAGGCGTTTGCAGCCTTTTAAAGTCAAATTGGCCCTGGCTGGTTTGGCTCAGTGGATAGAACGTCAGCATGCGAACTGAAGAGTACCAGTTTGGATTCCAGTCAAGGGCACATGCCCAGGTTGTGGGCTTGAACCCCGGCTTTGATTCCCGGTCAAGGGCACATGCCCAGGTTGTGGGCTTGATTCCCAGTGAGGGACTTGCAGGTTCCTTCTTAATAGGTTGACGCTCAACCATTGAGCAACGCTGGCTGGGCCGGAAGTGCAATATTTTGAATATGAGAAGCACACCTTAGAAACACATCCCTCACGCTCCCCAGTTCTCAGCCTTAGAGGTCTCAATGTGCATTTGCAAACACTTTCTTGCAAGAGGGGAATTTAATCAGCAGTCAGTGATCTCTTTAATGCAACCATGGATGACCTGAAATTGATTTCTGGGGCTCACCCTGGGCCCCCCCTCCCGCCATCTGTCTTGGGTGCTATGCTAGATAAATTGTATTATCGCTGGGATTTGTTTGGGGATGTTTAGTGCTAAACACAATTAAAAACCCAAATGCATCCAGAGCTAGATGCTAAAGCCACACATAGAGCCTGTTCCAGCCTTCAGCTGACTAGCCCTGGCACCCCTAGTAATTCCTCAAAGGAAAGAGATGATCAGCATAAAACACCCGTAATCCCCCAAACATTCGTTCTTTTTTTAGAGAGGGTAGTATTGGTTGAAGAACCTCAGGAGGTCAAACAATGAGAACGCTGGTCATTGAAATGAAAACTATTTCCAGTGATGTCTTCGAGCCTTGCCTACCGGGGCTGGGCTAATATTTTCAAGCTGAAGGTCTTTTTCTTTGCCTTTCTCTGTTTAATATATTTTTACTAAAGGCCACCAGTGTGGTGCCTAGGCCTGGCCTGGGGGGATCGGCCGAAAGTGGGTCTAGACATCCCCCGAGGAGTCCCAGATTATGAGAGTCCACAGGCCAGGCCAAGGGACCCCACCGGTGCATCATAATATCTGGGGAGGGAATCGGGAGGTTGGCCAGCTGGGCAGGGACCATGGGAGGGCTTCAGGCCATGTCCAGCCCATCTCACTCAGTCCCCATCAGCCAGAACCCAGCAGCAATCTGACCTACCAATCTGAATGTCTTGTCCCTGGTGGTCAAAACATGTCATAGTGAGCAGTTGAGCAACCTTAGTATATCATTTCCATATTATGCTTTGATTGGTTGAACAGATGACCAGTCGACTCGACACTTAGCATATTAGGCTTTTATTATATAGGATTGATTTCATACAGGAAGGGAGGGAGAAACATCAATGATGAGAGAGAATCATACATTGGGTGCCTCCTGCACACCCCCTACTAGGGATCGAGCCCACAACCAGAGCATGTGCCCTTGACCAGAATCGAACCTGGGACCTTCCAGAGTCCACAGTCCAACCCTCTATCCACTGAGCCCAACAAGCTAGGGCTCATTGGTTACTTCTTGTCTGTTCACAGACCAGGAATTGAACCGTGACCTCCGGGTTCATAAGTCGTCCCTCAACCACTGAGAAACACTAGCTTGGCTCAAAATGCTTTTATTGATTTGAGAGAGAGGGAGAGAGACAGAGAGATACAGGGAGACAAAGAGACAGAGAGAGAGAGAGAGAGAAAGGAGGAGGAGGAGGAGGAGGAGAGGAGGAGGAGGAGGAGGAGAAGAAGAAGTAGAAGAAGAAGAAGAAGAAAGAGGAGGAGGAGGAGGAGGAGGAGGAGAAGAAGAACAAGAAGAACAACAACAAGTAGAAGAATAAGAACAAGGAGAGAGAGAGAGAGAGAGAGAGAGAGAGAGAGAGAGAGAAATGAATGTGCCCTCGCACCAGGGGGTGGCAGATAGAACAACGGAGCTTAGTAAAAGGTGAACAGAACTATACATGTCCCACCAGCAGGCCAGCAGGACTGGGGCTCAGGTTGACAAGAGCCAGGGACCCCATCACATGTCCTACGAGTCCTTCATCAGCTCAAGGATCATTTCCTCCACTCCATGCACCTTGATGTGGTGCACGATGCGCCAGAACCGGCCAATGGGGTCCACGTACTGGCTGCCAGGGTGGAACGTCCACATCAAAGGCATGGTGTGCGATGTCATCGTGCTTGGAGTGAGTGCGATATCCTCAATGGGGATGTCTACCTGGTGCAACAGTACTTTCAGGACATCTTCTTTCTCAATGATGAGGTACAACCATGTGCAATCATTCTCGTCCTCATACACCCAGGGCCCAAGGATCCTCAGGCAGATTGGGTGCGAGGTGAGGTGCACCTTCGACCGGAGCTCGGACATGACCCCTCCGTGGTCCAAGGAGCAACAGTCACTGTTCTCAGAGCCTCTCGCTACTTCGTTCCTGGTATCGAAAGACAGGGGATGAGGTCTCCAAATGCATTTGACCTCGGCTTTTATCTTTATGGTTTTTACAGTTGTGTTTGTGGTTCTCTTTGGTTTATTTTGCAAATTTATAAATCTCAACCTTTCTTTATTTTTAGCTTTAGATCTTACTTCTATAACAATCTGTACAAAACGTACTTAATGTAAAATATGACTCTCTGCAGGTAACATGGTCCTATAGAATTTTAAAAACATTTTTTAAATGACAGTTGACTTAGAACATTAGGTTCCTCTCAGGGGTAAACCCCAATGACTAGACATTATATAATGGACCAAAAAATCATGCAATTAATCTCAAACCCATCTGACACTGTACACAGTTATTATAATATAACGAGAGGCTCAGTGCCCAAAATTCATGCACTTGGGGGGGTCCCTCAGTCAGCGCTTCAGCCTCTTCCATTTTGGGACCCCTTGGGGGATGTCCAACTGATGGCTTAGGCCCGCTTTATTGCTGCCATGGAAGCTCCCATCACCCCCCTGTGCTCAGCAGTTCTTAGCCTGGCTTTTGGGTGACTGGCGCTCCCACTGTTGGACTGCACTGACCACCGGTGGACAGCTCCTGCCATGCGCATCTGCCCCCGGGGATCAGTGCGTGTCATAGTGACCAGTCATTCTGCTGTTTGGTCCATTTGCATATTAGCCATGTATTATATAGGATTGACTCAATGCTCTACTTTACTGTGCCATGACTATTCTTTCATTTTTTTCGTATAGTTTTACTGATTTCAGAGAGGAAGGGAGAGGGAGAGAGAGAGAGAGAAAGGTCAATGATGACAGAGAATCACGGATTTTTTGCCTGTTGCATGCCCCTTACTGGGGATCAAGACTTTAACCCGGTTTGTGCCTTGACTGGGAATCGAATCGACATCTCCTGGTTCCTAGGTTTAAGCTAAACAAATGATCCATGCCAGCCGGGCTCTTTTCTTTTCTTTCCTTTCCTTTTCTTTTCTTTTCTTTTCTTTTCTTTTTTTCTTAATTAAAACTTTGTAGTTGGTTCAACTTTTCATTTTGTCCTGACAACACCACCTGCTTTCTGATCATCTCAGAGGGAACTCACAAACCATAGAATAAGCCACCTCACGCAAATATTATGCAAATAATATGGTTTACCTTTAACAGCTGGCAGAGGAACAAAGCTAATGTCAGCGTCCAGGTGGGCTTCTTAACAGCGGTCTTACTTCTCAAGTACTGGTGAGAGAGGCAAGACTAAAATATTCAGGGACAGACAGATACCTGGTTTAGCTGTTCAGGCAAACAGGAAGCAAAGAGACAGGTGAAACAGCAAGTAGGATTCCTGAGTTCTCATAACATCACTTATAGAATGATCTCTCCCTTCCCCAAACCTCAGCCATGATCTTGGCAAGAGCTGTATGGTGTTGCTGCTAAACTCACTTCAGTCCATAAAGTCCAAATTCCTCCCTCAGATCAGACTCCATCCCCAATCTTTCCTCCTCCTCCTGCTCCTTCTCCTCCCATCCATCTTTTTCTTACCGGTTCTTCTTGCAATGGAGGCAAAGGCCTGTTCTTCGCTCCTTTACTCTGTGACCGGTCTCTGCTTCCCCCTGTCACCTGCAGAAGAATGAACATGACCATGTACACAGGTTCCTGGGAGTCCATGTACCAGGAATATGTCCATAAAAACAAGGTTCCCCTGACTCACACCCCAGAAACCAGTCCCGTGAGAAAGGTGGTGGTGAAGAATGAAAGAGGTTTATTCAGGTGCCGGCAACTTAAGAAGATGGGGGAAGCTCGTCCCAAAACCTATCTGCACATCTCAGGGCAGGCAGAGGATTTTATAAGGAGGGAGACGCCAAACAGAGCAAAGAGGTCAGGGGGCGGGGCTTGAGAAGTTCTCTATGTGCCGACAGGCACAGTCCAATCTGATAAGGATCTTACAAGTGGTCAGGTGTCGGTCCAGAGTGTGTCATCATAGAGTTTGTCCTCCTGGTTCTAAGGTTGAAGGTCATCAAATCTCCCAGAACTGGGAAGGTCAGAGTTCATATCTTGTAAAATTAGTTCCTAGGATTCTTAAACAAACATGCTGTTTACCTACAAACTTCATTATTAGTCAGAGTCTGCATTTACAGGAACAATGTGGAAAGAATGGTGAGGTGAGTTGTAATTCCCATGAATTACATGAATTCATGTCATTATTGTGACATGAATGCTGGGATGCTTCGTTCTTCTTCTAGGCGTTTCCACGCTTTGAAAAAGTCAAATTGGCCCTAGCCGGTTTGGCTCAGTGGATAGAGTGTTGGCCTGTGAACATGAAGGGTTCCGGGTTTGATTCCCGGTCAAGGGCACATGCCCAGGTTTTGGGTTTCATCCCCAGTGAGGGACTTGCAGGAGGCAGCCGATCCATGATTCTCTTATCATGGATGTTTCTAACTCTCTCCCTCTCCCCTCCTCTCTGAAATCAATAAAAATATATTTGAAAAAAAAAGGCCGATGCTCTATCCACTGAGCAACACCAGCTAGGGTGCTATGTCATGTTGAAATGACTACCAACCTGGTATGTTAAACAAAGAAAAATAATAAACTATTTGAAAACAATGTGTATTTAATCTGAATGCAATACTGGCTTATTATTTTTTAAATGATTTTATTGACTCAGAGAGGAAAGGAAAGAGAGAGGTTGAGAAACATCCATGATGAGAGAGAATCATGGATCAGTCACCTCCCACACGCCCCCTAATGGCGATTTAGCCCGAAACCAGGGCATGTTCCCTTGACTGGGAATCGAACCATGACCTGCTGGTTGATAGGTCGATGCTCAACCACTGAGCCACGCGGGACAGGCCGGAAGTGCAATATTTTGAATACGAGAAACACACCTTAGAAACACATCCCTCTCACTCCCCAATCCTCAGCCTTAAAGGTCTCAATTTGCATTTGGAAACACTTTTCTGCAAGAGGAGAATTTAATCAGCAGTCAGTGATCTCTTTAATGCAACCATGGATGCCCTGAAATTGATTTATGGGGATCCCCCTGGTCTCCCCTCCAGCCGCTTCTCTCTGGTGTGATGGTAGATGAATTATATTATCACTGCGCTTTGTTTGGGGCTGTTTAGAGCTAAACACAATTAAAAACCCAAATGCACAAAGAGCTAGATGTTATGTTAAAGGCACACACAGAGCCAGCTGGAGCCTTCAGGAGACGAGTCCTGGCATCCCTTGTAATTCCTCAACCTAAAGAGATGATCCGAATAAACACCCCGTAATCCCCCAAAGATTCATTCTTTTTTTGGAGAGGATAGTATCGGTTGACCAACCTCAGGAGATCAAACAATGAGAACGCTGGTCATTGAAATGAAAACTATTTCCAGGGACGTCTTCAAGCCTTGTCTTCCAGGGCTGGACTAATATTTTCAAGCTTAAGGTCTTTTTCTTTGTCTTTCTCTGTTTTATTTTTACTACAGTCCCGGTGAACGAATTCGTGCTCCAGTGTGGTGCCTCAGCCTGGCCTGTGGGGATCGGCCGAAACTGGCTCTCTGACATCCCCCGAGGGGTCCCAGATTACGAGAGAGTACAGGCCAGGCCAAGGCACCCCACCGGTGTCCCATTAAGTCTGGGGAGATAAACGGGAGGTTGGCCAGCTGGGGAGGGAACATGTGAGGGCTCCAGGGTGTATCCAGCATGGCTCACTCAGTCCCGATCAGCCAGACCCCAGAAGCAAGCTGGCATACCAGTCTGAATGTCTTGTCCCTGGTGGTCAATGAATGCCATAGCGAGCAGTAGAGCAACCTTAGTATATCATTTGCATATTATACTTTGACTGGTTGAACAGATGACTGGTCGACTGGACACTTAGCATATTAGCTTTTATTATATAGGATTGATTTCATACAGGAAGAGAGAGAGAAACATCAATGATGAGAGAGAATCATACATCGGGTGCCTCCTGCACGCCCCCTACTGTGGATCCAGCCAACAACCAGAGCATGTGCCCTTGACCAGAATCAAACCTGGGGTCTTCCAGAGTCCACAGTCCAACCCTCTATCCACTGAGCCAAAATAGCTAGGGCTCATTGGTTAATTCTTTTCTGTGCCCTGACCAGAAATCGAAACGTGACCTCCGGGTTCATAGGTTGTCCCTCAACCACTGAGAAACACCAGCTTGGCTCAAAATGCTTTTATTGATTTGAGAGAGTGGGAGAGAAACAGAGAGAGAGAGAGAGAGAGAAAGGAGATGAAGAAGAACAAGAAAAGATAGAGAGAGAGAGAAAGAGAGAGAGAGAGAGAGAGACAGACAGAGACAGAGAGAGAGAGAGACATCAATGTGCCCTCGCACCCAGGGGGTGGCATCTAGAACAACAGAGCTTATTAAAAAGGTGAACAGAACTATACACATCCCACCGGCAGGACAGCAGGCCTGGGGCTCCGGTTGACAAGAGCCAGAGACCCCATCACATGTCCAATGAGTCTTCCATCAGCTCAAGGATCATTTCCTCAGTGTCATCCTCCTTCACGTGGTGCACGATGCGCCAGAACCGGCCCATGGAGTCCCGATACTGGATGCCAAGGTGGAGCGTCCACCACGAAGGCATGGTGATCGAGGTCAGCTGGCTGGTGGTGAGTGAGATATAACCACTGGGGATGTTTACCTGGCACAAACGTATTTGCAGGTCACCTCCTGTCTCCATGACGAGATGCAGCCATGTGCGATGGTTCTCGTCCTGATACAGCGAGGGCCCAGAAATATCAAGGTAAATGGGGTGCGATGTGAGGTGCACCTTCGACGGGGGCTTGGCCATGACCCCTCCGTGGTCCAAGGAGCAACAGCCACAGCTTCTCAGATCCTCTTGCTACTTCGGTCCTGGCATCGAAGACAGGGGATGGGGTCTCAAAACGCATTTTACCTCGGCATTTATCTTATGGTTTTTACGGTTGAGTTTGTGGTTGCCTTTGGTTTATTTTGCAAATTTATAAATCTCAACTTTTCTTTCTATTGAGCTTTAGGTCTCTCTCCTAGAACAAACTGAACAAACGTACTTGAAGTAAAATTTGACTCTGTGAATGGAACACGGTCCTATAGAATATTTAAAACATTTTTTCAATGATTTGACATACAACCTTAGGTACATTTCAGGGGTACACTCCAATGATTAGACATTATATAATGGACTAAGAAATCATGCAATTAATCTCATACCCATCTGACACCATACACTGTTATTATAATACTACTAGAGGCTCAGTCCACAAAATTCATGCACATGGGGGGGTCCCTCAGTAAGGTCTGCAGCCTCTCGCAGTACGGGAAAACTTGAGGGATGTCCAACTGCTGTCTTAGGACCACTTTAGTGCTACTGTGGAGGATCCCACCAACCCCTGTGCTCGGCAGCTGTGAGCCTGGCTTTTGGCTGAGCAGTGCTCCCCCTGTAGGAGTGCAGTGAGCACCAGTGGAGAGCTCCTGACATGAGCATCTGCCCCCGGTGGCCAGTGTGTGTCATAGCAACCAGTTGTTCTGCCATTTGGTCGATTTGCATATTAGCCTTTTATTATACAGGATTGAATTGACTCAATGCTCTACTCTACTGTGCCATGACTATTGCTGCTAAACTCACTTCAGTCCACAAAGTCCAAATTCCTCCCTCAGATCAGACTCCATCCCCAATCCTTCCTCCTCCTCCTCCCATCCACCTTTTTCTTACCTGTTCTTCTTGCTCTGAAGTCAAAGCACCATCGTAGCTCCTTTCCTATGTGACTGGACTCTGCTTCCCCCTGTCACCTGCATAAGAAAGAACATGACCATGATACACATATTCCCAGGAGTCCAGCTACCATGATTGTGCCTAGAAAAACAAGGTTCCCCTGACTCACACCCCAGAAACAAGTCCAGGGAGACAGGTGGTGGTGAGGAAGGAAAGAGGTTAATTCAGGTGCCGGCAACCTGAGAAGATGGGGGAAGCTCGTCCCAAAACCCATCTGCACATCTCAGTGCAGGCAGAGGCTTTTATAAGGAGGTAGAGGCCAAACAGAGCAAAGAGGTCAGGGGGCGAGGCTTGAGAAGTTCTCATGATGCCGACAGGCATAGTCCAATCTGATAAGGATCTTGCAAGTGGTCAGGTGTCGGTCCAGTGAGCGTCATCCTAGACTTTCTCCTCCTGGTTCTAAGGTTGAAGGTCATTAAATTTCTGAGAACTGGGAAGGTCAGAGCTCATATCTTGTAAAATTAGTTCCTAGGATTCTTATACAAAAATGCTGTTTATCTACATGATTCATTATTAGTCAGAGTCTGCAATTACAGGAGCAATTTGGATAGAATGGTGAGGTGATTAGTAATTCTCACTGTGACATGAATGCTGAGAATCTTCGGTCTTCTTCAAGGCATTTCCACCCTTTGAAAAAGTCAAATTGGCGCTAGCCAGTTTGGCTCAGTGGATAGAGTGTTGGCCTGGGAACCTAATGGCCCCAGGTTCAATTCCCCGTCAAGGGCACATGCCCAGGTTGTGGGCTTGATACCTAAGGAGGGACGTGCAGGAGGCAGCTTATCCATGATTCTCTCATCATCGGAGTTTCTAACTCTCTCCCTCTCCATTCCTCTCTGAAAATAAAATAAAATAAAAAACAACTCCCAGCTCAATGACCTGGACTGAGGCAAACTCTTCCACATTAGAAAGGAAAGATCAATGGAGCCTTAAGGAGATGTCAGACATCTGCCTGATGGCATTTAGTAGAAGAAAATAAAATAATAAAATAAAATAAATTAAGGGAGGAAAAAAAAAACATTTCAAATGTCACCCTCATACTGCCCTCGAAGGGATCGTGCCCAAAGGGTTCACGAGATAGAATGTCTGCAGTGCGACAAATGACGGATCTCAAGGCATGGGCTCTTTTATAAAAAATATGTATTTTTTTATTGGTTTTAGAAAGGTAGGGAGAGAGAGAGAAACATCAGTGATGATGAGAGAGAATCATGGACCGGCTGCCTCCTGCACGCACCCCACTGGGGATCGAGCCCGCAACCCAGGCATGTGCCCTTGACTTGAATCATACCCGGGGACCCTTCTGTCCACAGGCTGATGCTCTATCCACTGAGCCAAACCAGCTGGGGCGCTAGGTCGTCTTTAAATGACTACCAACCTGCTATGTTAAACCAAAAAAATAATAAAGTATTTTAAAACAATGTGCATGCCATCTCAATGCAACAATTGCTAATATTTTTTTAAATGATTTTATTGACTCAGAGAGGAAGGGAAATCCAGAGGGAGAGAGACATCCATGATGAGAGAGAATCATGGATCGGCCTCCTCCCACTTGCCCCAGTCCAACCCTCTATCCACTGAACCAAACAAGCTAGGGCTCATTGGTTAATTCTTGTCTGTGCCAGGACCAGGAATTGAACTGTAACCTCCGGGTTCATAACTCGTCCGTCAACCACTGAGAAACACCAGCTTGGGTCAAAATGCTTTTATTGATTTGAGAGAGAGGGAGAGAGACAGAGAGATATAGGGAGACAAAGAGACAGAGAGAGAGAGAGAGAGAGAAAGGAGGAGGAAGAGGAGGAGAAGAAGAAGAAGTGGAAGAAGAAGAAGAAGAAGAAGAAGAAGAAGAAGAAGAAGAAGAAGAAGAAGAAGAAGAAGAAGAAGAAGAAGAAGAAGAAGAAGAAGAAGAAGAAGAAGAAGAAGAAGAAGAAGAAGAAGAAGAAGAAGAAGAAGAAGAAGAAGAAGAAGAAGAAGAAGAAGAAGAAGAAGAAGAAGAAGAAGAAGAAGAAGAAGAAGAAGAAGAAGAAGAAGAAGAAGAAGAAGAAGAAGAAGAAGAAGAAGAAGAAGAAGAAGAAGAAGAAGAAGAAGAAGAAGAAGAAGAAGAAGAAGAAGAAGAAGAAGAAGAAGAAGAAGAAGAAGAAGAAGAAGAAGAAGAAGAAGAAGAAGAAGAAGAAGAAGAAGAAGAAGAAGAAGAAGAAGAAGAAGAAGAAGAAGAAGAAGAAGAAGAAGAAGAAGAAGAAGAAGAAGAAGAAGAAGAAGAAGAAGAAGAAGAAGAAGAAGAAGAAGAAGAAGAAGAAGAAGAAGAAGAAGAAGAAGAAGAAGAAGAAGAAGAAGAAGAAGAAGAAGAAGAAGAAGAAGAAGAAGAAGAAGA